AGAAAATACATTTAAAAGCCTTTCTTCTTTTTTTTTATTTTTTATTTATTTTTTGTCTTTGAGACAGGGTCTTGCTATGCCGCTCAGGCTGGCCTTGAGCTCACTTTGTAGCCCAGGCTGGTCTCAAACTCACAAGGATCCTCCTGCCTCAGCCTCCCTAGGGCTGGGATTACAGGCGTGTGCCACCATGCCCGGCCAAAAGCCTTTCTTCTGATTGTGAAATTTGTGTATGTTTCCTTAAACAGTTTAAGTTTAGACCTGTGTGTGCCAGATTCCGTTCTAGGTTTAGGGAATACTTTGGTGACTGAAGCCCTTGCTATTATATTGTTCACAATTGTTGATGGGGGTCAGATAGGGAAGACAACAACATTTGTAATCCTACTATGGTGAACGCCTAGTAGTCCTCCTTTTTCTGTGCAAATGTATTGATCTGTGTGTATAAAGATACACAGAAACATGTATCTCCCTTTGCCTTGTGTGCTCAAAACCACATGCAATATGTGATTCATCTTCAGATTAGCAAGAGTGTTTTCTCACATTTCTGGATATTCTTTGACATAGCTATCCAGCCTTATAATTTACCTACTTCTCTGTTGAGACATTTAGGACATTGGTCTTGCTATTATAATTTTCCAGTGAGTATCCCAGTATCTCGTGTTTTCTCCCATTTAAGTCATTTTCCAGATTTCTAGAGCAAGTTAACTCTGGTAAGTTTAGATCATGATCCACAATACCATCTGTGCTCTTCCTCCCTTTGTCAGAGCATGGTGTTTCTCTTTTTCATCTTTTTAGGAGGCAGAAAAATAGGGAAGCCCTGTAATATGTTCTTTTTGAGCTTTCATTTGTGCAGGCTGAGCAGTCCCCCAGTCCCCAATAAGATGGGGTCTTGCTGTTTCCCAGGCTAGCCTTCCCAAGGTCAAGCGGTCCTCTTGCCTCAGCCTCCCAAGTACCCAAGATTGCAGGTGTATGCCACCTTGCCTGGTTTGAACACTCTTCAGTTTAGCCCATCACTATTCTTGTAGCTATATTGAAAGTGCTTTCTAGGACTTACGGTTTCAGATCATGTTATTAGAGCATAGTAAGTGTGGAAGTATATTTTTTTCTAACTCAGTTCTGACCAGGGTAGTCCCTGTTTGCCAAACATATTCCTACCCTGGAAATACTTTTTCAGGGGGAAAAGGTTGAAATCACAGACAGAATTGTCTGGCCCATTGTGATTTACACATTCATTGTGCCAGTACTAATAGTCAACAAGAATTAAGTTAGCAAAGCATGCACTTGCCGACAGGCAGGTTGTAGGGACCCATGGGAGAACTGTCAGCAGGCGCTTTGAGGACAGCTTGATTAAGAGGACAGCCAAATCTATATGGGTGACTGTAATTAACTCAGGGTGCTCCTGGGCTGCAGAACAGTGAAATAGATTAGGAAGGGGGGTTGTAAAAGCTGGCAGCAGAATATCACCTTGAGAATTGAACAGTAGTTAACTTTATTAATAATATAAGTGATTTCACTTGAGAACTGGAAAGTGCTAAGGGTGTGGGTAGAAAGCAGTAATTATTTAACCATCTCAAGACAGTAGCAAAGGGTACCAGGAAGTAGTAAATTAGTAGTCCGGCATGTAGCCAACGAAGTGACCACATGGCAAGGTACACAGATGCAGATGCTCGCCCTGGCCCTGTCTGGGAGTCTTGCCTTAACTCGTCCAGAAAAAAACAACCAGCATGGCTGGACTGCCAAAGGGTTGGCAGCTACGTAAACGTTTCAGAGGGCTGGACTTGGTAATGCTACTGCTAATATACTTTCTTCAAATACAGGAATTGTGACCTTCGTAAAACCCTACAACAGAGAAAATGCACCCTCAGGCTGAGCTGAATAGTCACAGACAGACCCCGCTTGCAGTTATTGATCCAGTGAGTCCTGCTCACTCCGCCTGGATGCTTGCAGTTCTGATGTGGGCGTCCATCTGTCTGTCCGTCCGTCCGTAAGGATCCATTCCTGCGAGTCAGGCGATCGTGGAGGAAGCCAGTCAGGGGCCACTTGTTTGCGCAGGGTCTCGCTGTGTCGTTGAGACCGGCCTCCCGCTCCGGGGCTCAGGTGCCTCCGCCTCCCAAGTAGCTGAGCTCGCCTCCCTGTGCCGGCTCCTTTGTTGCAAATGAGAGAAGTTTACATGTGTCATGTGTCACCTAAAACTACCAATCGGTTTCCTATAAAGCATAACAAAAATATAGAGATCTATACAGCTATATACATTCATGTAGCAGACATATTGGGATGTTAGATGTTAAAAACATTTAACTGCTCTCAGATATTTAATATAGTTGGTGGGAAACTTGCTCTTTGACTGTATTCCCCTTTGCCTGTTTATGCTCTTCAGAATGTCCACAAGGAGTTCTGGTGTCTGTCCGAAGTGCACCCCAGGACTGTCCCTGCTCCAGCTTGGATAAGGCTGACGTCTGCACAGGGAGGTGGTCTGCAGGGCCCACTGTAATTAACCCGGCACTGAGCAGAGGAAAGGGAGGTGCAGCTAGTAAAAAAGTCACGTTGTTCTCATTTTGTGTTAAAGCAAATGTGCCACTCCGAAAACCACGGTCTCTCTGGCAACATCTTGGAGTTTACTGAGCTCTGCTGCGGGCCAGACCCAGAGCGGCTGGAGCCGAGCTGCCGGGCGAACTAACAGTAAACATGGATGCTGCATGCAGACCGAGGTAGTCGGAGGCACCCGCTTCTTGGCCCCGTGGACAGCAGAGGGTCCTGCGGGCACTGCGAGGGCAGGCGGCCTTGTGCGCTTGCTTGTTCACGGCGCGATCTCACTGCGCACTTCCCGAGAGCTGCCCTCTCCTGTGGCCACACTTGCCCTTCCTCTGCTTCCCTAACGCCAAGCAGCCCGAATCCGAGGCTCTGCGCCCAGTACCCAAGGGCTGGGAACGGTGGCTGGCTGCGGGCTTGAAATCATAGCTTGGAGAGAGGGCGCGGTCCACTGCATTTGGTTGGGGGCTCTGCTGAAGAAAACGGGCTGCCTAGCTCTTCTGGTGCAGACGTGCTCAACCTTTCGGGATGTACAGAGGGTTTCACAGCTTTTCCCCCCTGTGGTGTGATTTTGGTGTCCGTGATTAGGGGCTTTGTGGGGTGCTGCAGGAACCTAAGTGCGGGGCTGTGTTCGCTGCAGCACTGGCAGGCACTCAGGGAAACTTGGGAGCTGACGATGGGCCCAAGGCATCCCTAGGACCCGAGGGGGCTGCTTGCGTAGAACCTGACACAAGGCTGGGTACAGGTGGCAGCCTCGATGTCAGCAGAGACAGAACATTGAGCCGTGGAGCTGGCTTTGTAGACCCAGATAAAGACAGTATCAGCTTTTCCACTTTAACCTCCAGGTTTTTAACGCGCCTATTATTATCTTCAACCATCAAGAAAATCTTCTCAAGCAGCGCCTCGGAGGGGTCTGAAGTCTTCTGCACTTTTGCGCTGGGCGGCTGGCAGATCCTCTGGGAGAGCCGCCGGAGCACCTCCTCCACGGTGTCCTCCAGGCTCCCGGATGCCTCGCCGGCCTGCCGCACCCCTGCCTTCCTCCTCGGGGCCTCCTCCATCCTCCTCGGGGCCTCCTCCATCCCCGCGAGCCGCTGAGGGGCCTGTGACTTGGGCGTGAGAACAGCAGCGCTAGCCTTGAAGGAAGAGGAAAGCCCGTGAGGGTGGACAGGAGAACCGGGGTTTGTCCTATAGCTGTGATGGTCACTAACTCTGCTTAGGTCACTAATTAGGTGTTTTGTCACCTAGTTTTGTTTGCATATTTACATATTGAAATGTGTATATTACTTTTATATGTCATTACTTTGGATTTCATTTCAGGTAGTAGAAGACTTGCAAACTATTTAAATATTGTTGGTTTTAGGATTTGCTTTTACTCCACTTAAAGCTAATAAGCTAGCCTGCTGCTGTCTGTGGTGATAATGTGGTGCAAGACACAGTTTTCTTGCAGCAGTCACAGAGTCTTTACTATGCTAATACATCTTCCAAGGGTTTTTTATTATTTGACAAAATTGTAAGTGGTAGGTTGTTAAATTTCAATTAATACCTATTTTATAGAAGAGAAAACGTACTAAAAGCGGTTAAGTAACTTACCCAGGTTTGCAGAGCTATTATGGGGTGGAACAGAGTAACAGTGTCTTGGAGCCCATCTCTTATCCTAACTCTCAGGGTCCCCATTTGTAGCTAGCCACCATAGCGCATGCCTGTATCTGTACTCAGGAGGCCGAAGCGGGAGGATCACTTGAGCCCAGGAATCTGAGACCAGTCTGGGAAACAGTGAAACCTTTCCTTGCCGGCAAAAAAAATGGATAGATGTGTGTATATGTGTGTGTGTGTGTGTGTGTGTGTGTGTGTGTGTGTATGACTTGTTTGTAGCTAGAGAAATATGTTCATATCTGTAGATCAAGATTTTTCATTTGTATTTTGTATTCTTACTAATTTCAAGTTTGATGTAAATTTTAATACCTCTATCAGAAATTGATAACTATAGATTTAGTTGTTTTAAATCTGTTTTTTAAAAATTTACATAATTATCAAAATATAAAGTTACAGGGCAGGGGATTTAGCTCAGTGGCACAGTACCTGCCTGGCAAGCACTAGGTCGTGAGTTTGATTCCTGGTACCGGAAAAAAAAGAAACCAAAAAAAAAAAAACCCAAATATAAAATTACAGACTTATAGAAGACTATAATTACATATTTCAAAGAAATTTTAAGTTCAGGAATTTAATATTACTGTTTAAGCCATCTTGGGAGTTGGTGGTCGTCTGATACATCTTACAACTATAAACTAAGAAGCGGCCAGACCTAGTACGCTTTGTCTTTCTTTTCCCTTCTCAGCTTTTCCTTGCTAGCTCATTAGTAGTCCTCTTTCTCCTGTCCGTCTGCCGTGGGCCTGCAGACAGCACTGGTGATGCCCCCACTGGATCGCTGCCCCCCAGCCCGCCGCCCCTCTCACCGGCTGTTCTTCTCCCCACAGTGCGGCTTCCTGCTGTGGTGTATGGCCCCAAGCCCTTCGAACGGGGCTGAGCTGCTCTACAGGCGCATCATCCGCCCGTTCTTCCTGAAGCACGAGTCCCAGGTAGACAGTGTGGTGAAGGACCTGAAAGACAAAGCCAAAGAGACCGCAGATGCCATCACTAAGGAAGGTGAGGCCCAAGGACAAGGTGGCCCGTGAGGTGGAGCAGATGGGAGTGTTGGGCTCGGGTCACATGAAGCCTTCCTGGCCGCCTTGTCCTCCCAGCTCTCCTCAGCCCAGCGCCAGGCCACGCAGGGACTTCTGTAGCAACAGTGTGCCTGGCTGCCTTCACCTGCCTCTGGTTCCTCCTTCCTGACACATTAGCGCAGCGTCCGGCAGCATACTAAGAAAAGTGACTCCCCTACTGGAGGCAGAGATATTAGAGTCATGTATTTACATAGAAATATCTCTTTAAATCCGTTCAGGTCGACCTCTTTAGTGTGTTGAATGAATGGTTTCTGTTACAGGGCCAAAAGAATACTCTCTCAGTTCTTTTACTTGACTCCTTCAAATATTTATTGAGGTGTTTAGTATGGGCCAACCGTGTTCCTAGCACTGGCAGTCAACCAGAGAGACCGTGCTCCCTGTGCTTACAGTCCAGTAAGATTAAAGTATGACACGGTACATTTATCAGGTGAGAAAAAGCAGACAGAAGCACATTGAGGACCAGGGACTACAGTTACAGTTTTAAACAGGGAAATTAGGAAACCCTCACCAAGAGGCTGTGCTGAACACAGCAAAGAAAGCAGCAGTGGGGAAGAATGTTCCAGAAGGGGCTGTACATGCAAAAGCCCCAAGGTAGGGGCAATGAGAAAGTGATCCGGAGGGACAGGAGGAAGAGACCAGCCAGAGAGGTGGGGGCAGAGGCCGGGCGGCGGCCGCACAGTGCGCTGTAGGCTTCTGGCTTTGTGTGTGAGACAAAGTGCTTTCAGAGCATTTTGAGCAGAGGAGCAGCATGCTCTTCCCTGTGTTTTGACAGGATCACTGTGATCACTGAACTGAGGGTGGATTTAGAGGTGGAAATTGGGAGACCAGTTAGGAAGTCACCCCACTGACTGGCTGGAGAGGGTCGCCGCTCGGTTTATAGCAGTAGCAGCAGGGGTAAGAAATACCAATAGGATTTCCTTGTGAATCAGGCCTGGCATCAGAGAGAGAAGTCAGGGCTTACAGCAAGCTTTTCAGCCTTAGCAGGTAGGATGATAAAATAGACGCTGAGCTGGGGAAGACCAGGTAGTACAGTTTAGGTGGAGGAAGATGTGGAAATCAGCACAGGACATATGTTTACATTGCTTATGAGATATCTATATGGGGTAGTCAACAGCCAGTTGGACGTAGATGTCAAGAGTCGAAGAAACAAGCCAGGTGCGGTGGTGCAGGCCTGTAATCCCAGCACTTGGGAGGCTGAGACAGGAGATTTTCTGTGAGTGAGGCCAGCCTGATCTACATAGTGAGTTCAAAGCCAGCCTGAACCATGGAGCAAGACCCTGTCTCACAAAACGAAACAAAAGTTGAAGAAACAGCTCTGGTTAGGAAGATAAGTCATCAGCCAAGCGGACCAATAGGGAAGGGCCACTTGAAGCCAGACGTTGTGAGTGTGGTGTCCCTGGAGCCAGGTGAAGGTTTCAAAGAGGAGGAAGTGACTTGTGCCATGTGTGGACTCGAAAGTAAGTAAGGACTGCGCAGGACAGCAGGACTTAGCATAAGGAAGGCGCTAGTGATCTTAGAAGACGTGGGTTTTTGCAGCCTGAGAACAAACTCCTGACTTCTCCCAGAGAAGGGAGAGAAGGCCCGAGAGAACATAACATCTGCGGGGCGGAAAGGGCAGGGCTGGGTAGAAGAAGGAACTGTGGTCCTGAGAAGTTCGGAGCTTCTTCTTAGGGTGGGAGCAGCGAGGCCAGCCTGACCTGCATGGTGAGACCGTAGCAAAAAGACAAGAAAAAAAATCCCCAAGAATCCAAGTAGATTGACATTAAGGGTTGGAGATACTGGTTAGGAGCGAAGGTCTCCCTGAGTCGGAGAGGACTGGGACAAGGCTGGCGGGTGGTATAATCCGATGGTGAGAGTCCGAAGGTGGCAGTGAAGCAGACAGACTGGCAGTGCCTACCAGATCTCCAGACCCGGGGCTGCTAGGGTCACAGGAGAAAAAGCCACCTGCGACTTGAGCGAGGACTTCCTTGGGGGACAGTGAGGTTCTCTGGCCGCAGGAGGGTAAAGGAAACTTTCCGAGGTGAGGATGGGCCGGAGTTCCAGAGGGGCTCTGGGCTGCGAGATGGCAGCGCGGGCGGCGCGCGTGGTTTTGGGTGTGCAGCCCCGAGGTGCAGTGGGCCTGGGGGAGAGGAGGGCGGCGGCGGCAGGGTAGGGGTCCCCGCTTCTCCCGCACAGCGCTGCTCCCCTTTGGGTTTCCATCTGGGCATGAACCCCAGCCTGCTCCCCCACCTTTTGCTGTGGCTTTAAATGCGCGCTCACCTGCAGCTCTCACTTCTTCCCGCTTGGAGCTCTCGTGCCAGAGCTGTCTTCGGCCCGCCCTGCCCCGGCCTGACGGCGCCTGCGCCCACGTCGCTTCTGCCCCGCTCCCCCACTTCGGAGCCTCTCGGCGTCGCCCGCAGCGGCGCTCGGCGGCAGTCTCCCTGGAAAGGACGCGCTCCTACCCGCGTGAGAGCTGAGAGGAGCACGTTAGCCATTCCCCCGGCGTCTGCATCCCTTAGGAATGTATATATGGGGCTAGCTGGCAGGCGCACCTTCGTCTTTGTGACCTTGTCCAGCAGCCCTGTCGAGCACAGGGAGAGCAGCTGTCAGGCGCTGGTGGACAAAGGCAGCCCTTGGCTCGAACGTCCGGACGGAGCTCCTCAGAAACAGCTGCGACCCGTGGGCCCCCGCCGGCTCGAGGCCACACCGCCAGCCTCGCCCCTCCCAGGCTGCCCGCGGCGAGGAATGCGAACATTTCTAGGCTGGCCGCGCCTTTCTCTGATTTTGTCAGCGCAGGGTAGATAGGACAGCGCAGTTCTCAGACCGATGAGAACTGAAAGCTTAAGCGCGAGCACCGGGGCGCAGAGGGGATTTAGGTTGGAACGGGAACACCAGTGCTGGGGAATCCCTGCGCGTTGGGCGCTCCCAGGAGAACAGGGGGCAGGTAGTGTAGGGGACACTGTCACACAGGCTCTGTAAGTTTCGCTCAGGTCTGTCGCGCTGTGCTCTGAAAAAGTCCTTTGTCCACTTCCTGGAAGCCTTCCTCGCCCGACCACAAACCTCAGCGCGCTGCACCTGGCCGTGAGTCATCGAGGTTTGTTATCCGCGGCCTTGGTTGGCGTGGAGCTTGTACTGCAGAGTTCTGACAAATTTCCTCTTCCTTCTACCAGCCAAGAAGGCCACAGTGAACTTGCTGGGTGAAGAAAAGAAGAGCACCTAGACCCTCCGCTGCCGGCGCTTCCCTGCCCTCGCTGCGCCCCCCTCGGAGAGCTTGAAGTTACCAGGGACTGCGGGGTCATCGTCTCGATAATGCTGCCTTGGAGACACTTTTGATATATTAAAATGCAATGTGCTGTAAGTGTCCTGCTGTCACTATCTGTATACATAGGAAGCATTTAATTTAAATTTAATTTAAATTCAATGCAGTGGGCAATCTAAATTTTTGAGAATATGTTTTGCCTCTGGGTAGGAAAAGACATGTTACTATCCTGCAAGAAATATAAAGTAAAATAAAATTATGTGTCCCACAGGCTCTGTACTTCTCTGGGCGACTCTGCATGCATTTTCTCTGTGCTTAACATTTACACCATGTAATATACGATTTCATGGACTTCTTCAGTGTTCTCTGTATTTATGTACATAGAGAGAAATGTCTCTACGACGGCCATGCGCATAGTGCTCCTGAGGAAGGAGCCGGGGAGGTTGTACATCCACTTACGAATCCTGTGCAGCAAGACCACCTGCCAAGGTGGGAGGCACCGTTCTGCGGGGTGATCTGCTGCCTCCTTCAGAAAGCGAATACAAATTAGTAACAGCCACACAAAGTGAGAGACGAGCTTGAGTGGAGGTCGCCTGCCTACTGTGCTAACACTGCAGTCCTGAACCCTAGGACAACCTTGTAGAGCAGTCGGTCTCGGGGTAAGCGGGGAAATGTGTGCACGTCGGTCTGTGGCTCCGACTCCCGGCGAAATAGCAGCGCTGTCTTCCCTACTTAAGCTTTCGATGTGTCAGTTTTTAAGATGCCGTGAAGGCCATTGCTGGCTTTACCTTTATAGCTAATATGTTGTTGTAGTCCTTTCTCCTCCAATCCTGTTTAAGCCAGTTTAAGAAACCCCTCGAGACGCTCCACCTCTGATGCCACAGCTGTTCTTGTTCATGTCATTAGCATGAGCGTGACGACGCTCGCGCAAGCGCAGCTCCAGGGCCGTGACAGGAGCCCGGATGGGCCTGTCGTCCGGCTGGAGTGGTCGGCCAGGCTGCCTTCGCCCTGCTTACACTGTAATGTGGGGGTCGAGGCTTCCCTGGTTTATGTGGCAGAATTATTTTTAGTCCATTTAAATGCTTTCATCTTTCTTTGTTTTCATAAATTGCATATGAAAGCGTAAAGTACAGAGTAAAAAAATGATGTCTCCAATTTTATTGGATACCTAGACATCTGGATTTGAATTGACTAGACTAAAATGTATAACAAAATTAACAAGATTCAACATCCAGTTAATAAAACTCTTTTAAGGCAAATGAAGATGATTAGCTCTTCAATAAGGAATACATCATCTAAATGTAATATGGATCAGAGACTTGTTTTTTCCCTCAAAAAGTCGTGATAATTATTTTTAAAACATTGTTTTTTGGAGGAGAATAAAAACAAGCCTTTGGTTAGAAAACAGTCTGTCTAAAAGTGTTGTGATCTCCGCCATAAACTGAAGTGTGCTCTCGGTGAGGGACAGCGGCGTGTGCCTGCGGTCCCAGCTCGTTGAGAGGCCGAGAAAAGAGCATTCATTGCAAGTTCAAAGTCAGGCAGGAAATTTAGCAAGACTGGCACAAGGTAAAATTACAAGGGCAAGGGATGGAGCTTGGGGGTAGAGCACTTGGTAGCACCCTAGTGCTAGGGAAAGAAGTACACTTCACCGTGACAAAGATTAGCAAGCCCTAGCACACATCGTACTGTTAGTGTACAGAATTATTAAGGTGGGGTGGCATGAAATATTGCTGATAATTACAGGTTAACCCGTGTAAAAACTACAAGAGTACAATATAAATGCAGATTCTTTTGTTGCCTTAATACCACAGCTTTCCCCTACAGCACATCCTATAAGAAATTCTATAAGTTACTATTGTTTGGCAGCTTAAGGGTACATCAATGGCAGAAGCTATGATTTGAGTAATTCTGTCTCTGTAGATTTCTCAAATAAAATACTGCCATTATCTGGCTGGAAGTGAAAGCATTTATTTGTACGCGAGTACTATTTCAAGGGTGTGTGAAATCATGGAATTTCTCCTAAGCATCTGAAAGTCTTCACAATGAAAGCGTTCCCGCAGCACTTCTCTTCCTTGCAAGCTTAGTCGAACCAACAGATTAATGCTACTCTAGTGAAAGTCTTCCATCACAGTCTGCAAAAAATGACCACGGGCTTGTAAGTAAGTGATCTCCTGTCCTGAAGGCAGAGTGTTCTGAATAGAAGCGGATGTACAGTGGCCCCTCACCAGAGGTAATGTGCCAGGACTCCCGGTCGAGTTCTAAAGCTGAAGATAGTATTGAGTTCTCTATAAATATGCTGTTTTTGCTCCCTGTACTTATGGAAAGTTTATAATTAGGCAAAGTAAGAAGTTAATAAGTGATTGTAACAATGTACAGTACTACAACAATGTGGTCTTAATATCCGTGCCATACTGTGCTTTAAGATTTGTTGACCTTGAGTCATTGAAACCAAGGAAGATGAAAGTGCAGATAAAGGGGACTAAGCAGTGTTTATTGTTCGTTTGTGTTTTAAAATTTTGCTCAATCCTAGAGGTTAGGAAAAAATGTACTACAAACTAAGATGAAATATAATTGTTAAATGAGACTTGAATTTTATTAACTGTATTCCTCACCTGGCTTGTAATTTTCCCCTGGTGGTTACTGTCAGAAAAAGACTCCCTAAAAAGTATCAACCAACCCTGTACCCCCCCAAAAATAAAAGAAACTGATGTAATAAAAGCCCGGGTCCTGACAAACTTACTGTTGAATTCTACAAGAACTTTAGAAAAGATCTAACCCCAATACTCCTCAGATTCTTTAATGAACTTGAAAGGGAAGCAGTACATCCACTCATTCCTGGAATCAAGCATTACCTTGATTCCCAAACCAGAAAAAGACCCAGCCGAAAAGAACCACAGACCAATCTCTTTAATGACATAGAAGCAAAAGATACTGCCAAGCAGAATGCAACAGATCATCAAAAAGATCATACGTCACGACCAAGTAGGATTCATTCCAGGAATATAGAATTGGTTCAACATACAAAAAAATCAGTAAATGTAATTCACCACATAAATAGGACGAAAACCATATTATCTGAATAGATGCAGAAAATGATAAAATTCAGCATCCATTCATGATAAAAGCTCTTAAGAAACTAGGAATAGAGTATCCTTTCCTTCATCTAATAAGGACCATCAATGACAATGGCTAACAGTACTTGCTGGCAAGAACCTAAAAGTTTTCCTTCTTAAAGTCAGGCATAAGCAAGAGTGTCTGCTAGCACCACTTTTGTTCAACATCGTTCTCAAAACACTAGCTAGAGCAATTAGACAAGAAAAAGAAAGGGCTATGGGTAGGTAAAGAAGCTAAATTATTATTTGCAGACATGATTCTCTACATAGAAGACCCTAAAAACTCCACTGAAAGACTTCTAAAACTAATAACCAAATTCAATAATGTAATAGGATATAAAGTCAATGGTCAAAAATCTATAGTGTTCCTGTATACCAACAACAAATTCACTGAGAGGGAAATAATAGCTTTCACAACAGCCCCAAGAAAAATGAGATACCGAGGAATCAACCTAACCAAGGAAATGAAAGGTCTTTACAAGGAAAACTATAGTACTCTGAAAAAAACAGATTGAAGAGGGTATCCGTAATGGAAAGATATCCCCTGTTCCTAGACAGGCAGAACCAATATAGGTAAAATGGCTGTAATACTAAAATTGTTACATAGATTTAATCCAATCCTGATAAAAACAAGTGACAGTAACATTTTTTACAGAACTGGGAAAAGCAATCCTAAAATTCATATGGAATCAGAAGAAACCTAGAATAGTAAAAGCAATTGTGGGCAACAGGGGCAAAGTGAGGGCATCACATCCCAGACCTCAAGTTACACTACACAAAGCTACAGTGTTAAAAGCATGGTGTTGGCAAAACAACAACAACCAAAAAAAAAAAAAAAAAAAAAAAACATTATGGTCTTGAAGTGTGTCTACTTTCCTACAGAAGCCTCCAGTTTTTGATGGCACAGTAACACGTAGCGCAGCCATAATGCCTCGGTAGTTTCCACCTACCTGTGGCTCCAGAGGAGACACTCTCCCGTCAAATAGGTCTTGTTGCTATGACTGAGCAGTCCATGACACGAAGCTCACTTCCCTGGTGACCAGCGGTGACACCGCCGTGGAGCTCTGTGGGCCCCGAAGACAAGGCGTGGTCTGGAGAAACAGCTGGCCCTCTGGCCCTTGCCACCTTCTGTCACCCAAGCATCACCGAGCTCCCTGGGAATCAGGTCTGGGATCAGGCCTGACCGCTCATGCAGTTTTTATTGTAGCAAGTGAAAATACTTTGGAAATTTCCATCTTCAAGGCCAGCATCTCATGGAAAACTTAGAGAAGCACTGTACTTACTAATAGAGATGGTGTGCAACTTTCTTCATATGTAACTTTCTTTCTTCTTCTGTGTATTTCATCAAATATACTATTCTTTAAAAAAGAAAACTTCCCTGCAAGGAAGGTAATAGGTAGAGGATAGAGGAATTTAATGCCCTGAATGGAAAAATTAGCATACATTGAAAACAATGACCTTTTATTATTACAGCATACATGTGCTGCATTCTAGAAAAGAAATTAAGCAAAACTGATGAGTAAAAACATGTCAGATTAATTACCACTGTTAACACTTTACTGTTTGGAAAAAATTAGATAAAATATGTAAATATAAAATAAATAAATAAATATAATATTAATCAATATCAAGATATGTTTTAAAAATTACTTTTCTGAGAGTTGGATTCAGCTGATATTGACGGATAGGAAAACCAAGGCACAGGTTGACTCTGAGAGGGGAGGAGTATAATACTAGCACTGGGCGAG